TGTAGCCCTCTAGTTTTGTGTAACATTTAGAAGGATCTCATGCGATCTGTTTTTTTTAACTTTTTTTTTTTTTAAGGATTTTATTTCTTTATTTGACAGAGAGAGACACAGCAAGAGAGGGAACACAAGCAGGGGGAGTGCGAGAGGGAGAAGCAGGCTCCCAAGGAGCAGGGAGCCTGATGCGGGACTCGATCCCAGGACCCTGGGATCATGACCTGAGCCGAAGGCAGATGCTTAACCATCTGAGCCACCCAGGCGCCCTGCTATTAAATTCTAAGTCAAATAGCATCCTTATTCCTACTCCATTCCTCTTTGCTCATTCCACTCCAGCCACCCTGGCCTTACTGATGTGGCAGCCTGTGGGCATGCTGCCGCCCCAGGGCCTTTGCCCTTGTGGTTCTTTCTGCCTGGGATGTAGTTCCTTCCAAGTAGCAGGTGGCTCATTCCTCTACCTCCTGCAGGGTCTTGCTTAAATGTCACCCCAGTGAGAGCTTCTCTAACCCTATTTAATATTTAAACCCTTCCCTGCTTAATTTTTCTTCAAAGCACATTTATGTATACTTTATACATACCCCATTTATTTTCTTTATTGTCTGCCTCCTGCACTAGAATGTAAATTTCATAGTGGCAGGGATTTATTTGTTGTATTTTTTTTAAGATTTTATTTATTTATTTGAGAAAGAGAGTGTGAGAGAGACCATGAGTAGGAGAGAGAGGGAGAGGGAGAGACAGACTCCCAGCTGAGCAGAGAGCCCAATGTGGGACTCAATCCCAGGACCCTGGGATCATGACCCAAGCCAAATGCAAATGTTTAACCTACTGAGCCACCCAGGTGCCCCTCTGTTTTGTTTTTTTTTTTTGAAGACTTTATATTTAAATAATCTTTACACCCAAGATGGGACTTGAACCCACAACCCCTAGATCAAGAGCTGCACACTCCACCAACTGAGCCAGCCAGGTGCCCCAATTTCAGTTTTTTTTATTATCATAAATACTTGTTAAATTTATGAAGACAGACTTGACTACATAACAGTTAATTTTTTTTACTACAAAAGACCACATAAACTATTTTCTAAAATATATCCTTTACATTTGTAAAAAAGGATCACATGGATAATACATAAAGAGCTCCTAGAAATTAATAAGCATAAAACAACCCCATAGAAAATTGGATAAAGGGCAATGAACATACTTTCCACAGAAGACCTACAGAAATGCCAACAAAGATGAAAAGTGCTCAGTCTCAGGGACATACAAATTAGTTGGAATGGTAAAATGTTTTTCATTCATCAGATTGGTACAGAGTAGAAAGACTGATAACATCTAGTGTGATTCAGGCTGCAGAACCTGAGATCCGCTCATGCAAGAGTGGGACAAGCGCATGCGGTACAGACTTGGGAGGGTCGTGGTAGCAGTCCGTAGTCTTCAGTCGCTCATCTCCTTATCCAGCTTGTAGAAGTGCTTGCAGGCCTGCAGAGTTGGGAATATAAGGCTATTTATTGTAGCATTGTTGTTAATAAAAAAAATGGGAAATAATTTAAGTGTCCGTCAGGTCTTTAAAAATAGATCCCATAAAATCGTATTAAATATTATAGAGCTGCTTGGGAGAAAGAACCTGATGCATCTGACTGCATCCATGACAAATTTCATGAATCTTTATTATGTTATACTTTAGTCTTAAAGAAAGAAATGATCATCTGCAAAACCTCCCTGGCATAGATGGTATACCCAAACTGTGAAATGTTGCACAGCTTTAAAAAGAATGACTTAGATCTATATATTTACACAGACAGGAAAGCCTGAGGTATCAGCTAAATGACAAAAGCAAGTTGCAGTATGGTATGTATGTTATAATCTCATTTTATGTCACCCCAACCTCAAATGCTATTTGTAAAGCGTACATGAACACGTATGAGAGCACGCAGAAATGTCTGGGAGGTTACCCACCACTTAACAGCTTTCCTTTGGGTTGGGGAGTAAAAGCAGGGGAAGGAAATCTCCTGTATTTCAATTTTTACCAAGAAGGGTATTCTTGATTAATTTTATAATTTTTTAAAAAAGGTAAAACTGTTCTAAGTAAGAGTTTTAGAAAGTGTTACAAAGCAACTGAATTAGAGATTGCTGAGAAATGATTCTTAGGCAATCCCTGACTTGCAAATATTTGACTTTGGAGGTTTCAGGTATTTGAGAATGATCCCAAACACTGATACTATTTAATAATAAATAGTATTTAATAATCTTTCATTTATCTGAGGCACAAAAAATTGACATAAACAGGAGTTTAGGAGGAAGTCATGAAGACTGTGGTTGAGTTTCTCCCACCATTTATTGTTGAATTAATGTATGTATCAATAAATTGTAGCAGCTTCCCTAGAGTGATCACTATTTTTATGTGAAAAATGGGCCTATGATACCGAAGCCACCTGCCAGTGCTGGTGGGCACCGTGAGGAGGTGGGTCTAAGGAAGTGATGGGTCTCAACAAAAAAATACGATTTTTGTGTTAAAGTGTCAAAATCAGTGTTGACTCAGGTCTATGGGGACAAGTGTTCCGTAGAAAAATAAATGTATATATTCATGAAACTTTCAGTGAATGTAGCAGCCAGAGCAAAATGGCTTTTAAAAAATTTCAAATATAATTAACACAGAGTGTTGTATTAGTTTTAGGCATACAAGCAAAATGACTTTTTAATAGAAATTATGATCCAGGGGTGCCTGGGTGGCTCAGTGGGTCAACCATCTGCCTTTGGCTCAGGTCATGATCCCAGGGTCCTGGGATTGAGCCACACGCCGCAGGTCATCACACGTCACACGTCGGGCTCCCTGCTCATGGGGAGTCTGCTTCTCCCTCTCCCTGTGCCCTGCCCCCTCTGCTCGTGCTCTGTCTCTCGCTTTCTCTTTCTCTCAAATAAAATATTTTTAAAAATTAAAAAAAAATTGGGTGCCTGGGTGGCTCAGTTGGTTAAGCGACTGCCTTCGGCTCAGGTCATGATCCTGGAGTCCCGGGATCGAGTCCCGCATCGGGCTCCC